GGGGGGTGGGTGGGCAAGGAGACCGATCAGGGTGTCAACTGTATTCTTGTAGGCGATATGCATGCAGCAGCAGCTGCAGGTTTCACAGCAACTGCATCAGCTAGCGCGGTGTCCAGTACTACTGCAGGAAGGAAGGAAGCAAGTCTGCAATAGCACCACCAGAAACAGTGGCAGCAGCGGCGGCGCTGAGGTTTTCCGTCTGGGGCTCTGTGGGGGGATTTCCAGTAGCCTAGCTGCAACAACTACAGCAGCGGCAGTCTGAACTGCTGCAGCAGCAGAGCAGGAGTCATCCACTTGTACGTGAGAGCTCGCGGCTCTCCCCAGGGTATCTTTCTGCAGCAGTTGGAGTAGCGAAGATGTTTTCGCATGGGCATGATGGTGACGAAAGGCATTGGCAGCACGTGCTGCAGCTGCTCGCGCACCCGAGCGAAGCCCAACAGGTACGCCGCGTTGCTCCGCAACACCAATCGCAGCAACAGCTGCCGCAGAAGCAGCAGCGGAGAGATGCGCACCTGAGCCATGCAAGTTCTCGCAGTGGCAGAGTCACTAGCATCTGCGCAGCGCAGCACATAAGCAGCAGCATCAGGTGCAGGAGTATGTGGTGTTGTGTGTCTCAGCTGGCGTGTCTGACGGAACTGCAGCAGTGGCTATCATTTGCCACCGATGAGCACCTGGGGTCCTTCCCGCTGCAGCGCGTGCTGCATGCACTGTTCCTGCTGCTGCAAAGGAGAATAGGGGGCTCAGCTGCTGCTGGCGGTGCCGCTGAGACTGCTAGGAACGTACAAACGGACGCGTCTGAAGCAGCAGCAGCACTTTCGCAGGAAGCTTTAGATGAACAGTTAGCCAGGGAGCTAGCAGGAGGGGTGGACGATGTGAGGAAGGCAGACTGTTTTGTCATGATTTCCGTCCCTTTGTTCTGCTTAGCGTCTTCGGTGTTTCTGCCGATGCTGCTGGACAGTGCCTCCGCCCATTCTTGGTGGTGCTTCGTGTGTCTGTTTCTCATTTCAGTATATTTGGTCCTCGTGTCATCTTTCCGCTGCTGTCACTGGCCGCTGCTGACACCGGTTGCCTTCTCGCCCCACACTTGACCACTGACGGCAGCAGGTGCACCAGGAGCAGTATGGGCAGGCTTTCTGCGTGCCGTGTTTGCAGGGCATGACAACACACAAGGATCTTTTGATAGGCTCATGTGTATACTTGCTGCTGGATGTGCTTCCCATGCAAACAGCAGCCGTTATAGCGAGGACGCGTGAGCTTTGGCTGTTGCTGCTGCTGCTGCTGCGTGGTGTTCTCCTTGCCTGTTTTTATTTGTTGCTGTGGCCAGTTTTTTGTTCTTTCTTGCTCACGGCCTGTCTTGGCTTCCTTGTCCTGGTTGAGTGTTGTCTATCTGTGTCCAGTTTTTTTCTGCCATCCATCATTTCAGGATTTGAGCTGTCATCCGTGTTTCCTCTGTTCGGCTGTGGCCCCTGTTGCCCGTGTTTGTGTGAAGGTGGCTGTATGCTGCCTTTGCAGTTTTGGGAGGTTGCCCATAACGTCGGTTAGCAGTGTGTTGGTGTGTGCAGTGTGTTGAAGGGGGGAGGAGGTGAACCAATAGGTCCAACTTGTTTATTGTTTGTGGTGCATGTGCAGCTGAATATATGGAAGCTTTGAAGCACCAGCTATCGCATCTTCAGTACATTGACACTGGGGAAAAGTTTCTGCTTATTCTCTGCCGCGTCATTGACGAACAGCCGCTGCTTTCGTTCTCATCGGGCGCTGCTGCTGCGATACTCCCGATCCTTGACTTCTTCCAGTTGGACATACAGCGCAAGGCCGTGAGAGCAGCAGCGAAGGCGCTTGCTGCTGCCGCTGCAGCCACGGATAAAGCAGTCGCCTCAGCAGCGGCAGAAACCGCGGCAAGAAGACTTAACTTCTCTCAACTGCAGCAACTCCACCAACAGCAGTGCCAGCAGCAGCAGCAGCAGCAGCAGCAGCAGAGCACGGCCGGAGAGACCGTACCGCCTGCAGCTGCTGCAGGGCCGAGCGGAGGGGCCGAGTCCATCGTTACTGGTGAAACAGCAAGCAGCTGCGACACCAGTGACAGGAGTAAGTTGGCGTCTTTGCAGGAGCAACTGCAGCAGCAGCTGCAGCAGGAAAAGGAGCAGCACCGAGAGCTGGTTGGACAACTCGAGGAGTACCGGAGCCTGATAAATCCAACTCTCCCCTTTTTCTCCTCCCTTCTGTCTTACAAGGACGAGGCTTTGCTTCAGGTTCGTTTTTGCTTCCTGTGCAGGTCCTGCCGTTGCTGGTGCTTCTTTTGCTGCCCTGGATGCGGAGTTTGTCCAGTGCTTTTATGCGTGCTTCAGGGGGCCTGTCAGAGCTGGCGTTCTACTTTGACTATTTTTGTCTGCATGAACACCGCAGCAGCAGCCTCTGCTGCTGCAGTTGCTGGTCTTGGGCTAGCTGTTGAGAGAGGTGAGGGGTGCTCGCTGCAGGAGTCGCAGAGTGGCCTGTTGCAGTGCAGCCATTTCGGTGGTGTCCGCTGCTGGGATGTATCTCTGTGAGTGCAACGGTGCTTGTGTGGTGCTGTGCAACAGCAGCAATAGATGGCACTGGAAGCACAGAGCTGGGCTCCACCCAGCAGCAGCAACAGACTGAGGATGACGCTGAGTGGCTTTCGATTTGTCAGAAGGCTTATGCTGATCGAATGGAACTGCTGGCAGGCGAGCTTGCCGTGGCAGGGTCAGCAGCAGCATCAGCGCTACAGCAGCTGGTCGCACGGACGATTGCAGAGTGCAACACCAGCGCCCTCGCGTGGCAGCAGCAACTGATGCTGCAGGATGCGATGTACGTGTTGTCTGTGTTTGCTGCCTACTCGGACAAGATAGCAGCAGAGTTACTGCAGCAGCAGACGCAAACCTCAGACTTTCAAGAGGCTGTCAACAAACTGGTACATTACTTTGCCGTCGACCCTAAACCCGTTAAGCTTATGCCGTCTGTGCATGCAACTTTTGGATAGTCAGACTGAGTCTGCTGTTACGGTGGCCTCATGGGTTTAGGGTTTAGACCCCAGAGTTTAGGGTTAGGTGAGTATGTGACTGCAGGTCAAGAGGCAGGAGATGCTGCTGCTGGAGAGCGTCGCAGCTTTGGGCATGTCTCTCCTTCCAGCAGTCCGCTTTAAGCTGCCGTTGCAGCATCCGGCAAAGATTGTGCTACTGGAAGCAGAAGCATCAGCAAGGGCAGCAGATGTTCTGACAGTAGACGAACATCGCGCCGCTGTCTTCTCGGAATCGCCGGAACTGCTCGGTCGGGTGCTGCAGTAAGCAGGGGTTGAGGGTTTAGTTTGTATGATACAGATACTTAAACGTGGTTCGCCTGCAGCAGCAGCAGTTATTCTTGCTCCTGCTGCTTCGCATGTCCACTGCCATATCCTCTCCACCTATGGTTTCTTATATCTTATGTTTTCAACACCAAACACCCTAGAAGCCGCAGCCCGGTTTTCACATCTTTCGTTGCGTTGCTGTGGCGGATCTGTCTGCAAGTGCTTCTGAGTGGACTTGTGAGTGGGCTTGCGCAGCACCCTTGCAGCTCCAATGCTGCCGCTCATGGAATCATCTGTGACGAGAGACCTGTCCAGTTTTGTTCTGCAACTGCTGTTAGCTGCTGCTTGCACCGCAGCAAAAGCCAAGAGCAACCAGAATCAACTGCAGCAACAGTTCTTGCGGCACCTCGACGTCAAAACTCTTGGAGAGATCTGCGCTCACACGCTCAGCATGGGGCTGCCTGCCGCAGTGGTAGGTTGCAGCTGTTGTGGCGGTATTTGGTGCTACACTTGCTTGTGCACGGAGTGCTTCTACTGCTTCTCTGTTGATGCTTAAGGCGTTTCAGTCACCCCCTTTGCGCTTGTCTATGCGTTTTGTGTGTCAGAACTTTGCCGTTATGAATCTCGTGCTGCAGTTGCTAGTGCAGCACGGCCCCGCTGCAGCAGCAGCCCTGCAGGCAGCAGGCGTGCGGGACCGTGTAGAGGTGGACTTGGAGAGAAGTAGAAACAGCAGCAGCACGCTTGCAAGTGAAGATCAGCAGCAGAGTGCTGGAGATGGAACTGGAGGGACTATGTGTTTCGTCATCAGAGCGGCAACAGGTGCGGCTGCTGCTGCTGCAGGCGAACCGGTTGAATGCGTTGACTTAGTTGCGTTGTTGCGGCGGATCAGGGAGGCGTGCCTAGTTGTGTTTGAGAAGCAGCTGCAGCAGCCTTCTCCACTCGGCGGGGCACCTCTCTGCACCACGCAGCAGCGGCTGCGGCAAGTGGCTTCTTGTCTGGCCCAACAAGGGAAGCAGCCTGTGCCCGCAGAAAAGCAGCAACAACAGCAGCACCAATGGTGGGCTCTAGTAGAGCTAAGGAAGCTCCTGGAGGATCCAACAGTGAATATCTCAGCATGCGAAATCATCAGCTCCCAGCTTGCAGAGGCACTCTGTTGTTATCTACTGGGCACGAGCAGTAGCAGTGACGACACCAGCAGCATGGATAAGAGCCCTTGCTACAGCGGAAGCTGCTGCCGCAGTGATTGCTGCAGGGAGCAGCAGGAGCTTAGAGAGCGAGGGCTGCTTTTCTTGCGCGCCTTCCTGTTTCCCTTGACCGATAGCTCCCCTGAACAGAAGCAGCAACAGCAGCAGCAGGCGCATGGTGTTCTAGACGGTGTTGACTGGTCTGCTGCTTCCCCGGAGTTGCTGTTGCGGCTGGCGATGCTGGCAGCAAAGTGCCTAAGCAGAGTGGAGCAGTTTCCGGTACTACAGCATCAGCTACCTGCTGTTGTAGCAGCAGCACGGGACGTGCTGCCCCCTCACTTGCGGGCCCCACGACCACCCGCAGGAGGAACTATGGCAGCAGCCGCAGCTGGCAGACAGCCAGGCTGCCGTACGGCTGGGCTGCAGCAGCGGCCGCGACCTACCTCGAGAGGGCTGCGAGCCTTCCAGCAGGTGCAACAGCAGCAGCTTTCGCACTATCCGGGGGAACTTAGGCGGCAGCAACTGGTGCAGCAGCAGCTGATGCAACAACCCGATCCTCTCCTAGTTGTGCAGGACCTGCAGAGAGACATTATTATCGTGGCAAGGGATATTAAAGGCGAGCAGCCGCGACCTGCTGCTGCAACCTACTGCGATGCGGCGGAGACGGCGATGGTCCCCGCAGAGCCATTGGCAGAAGCAACGGCAACCGAAGCCGAGACAGCAGGCACATCATCGAGGTCTTCAAGAAGGCGCTTTCGCAGCCGCACTGGCGGAGGCTGCCGTTCTCCTGCTCGGGCGGTTTTTGAAGCTGCACCCGCATCGTCAGCAGCAGCAGCTGAAGCACCTCAACCAGGTACCGCAGTGGAAGCTGCAGCTACAGGGAGGAGGAGGGAAACAGCAGCAACTCATCAGAGGGATGTTCGTGGCACGCGATCCAAGACAGCAGTGGCTGCTGCAGCAACGGCGAAAGCCAGCATGGGGAACAGCAACAGTAGTAGCAACAACAGTACCGGTAGTAGCAACAACAATACCAGTAGCAGCAACAACAGTGCCAGTAGCACCAACAACAGTAGCACAAGTAATAGCGGCTGCTTGATAAAGCGACGGCGAGGACAACCTGGCAGTAGCAGCAGCAGCAACATGCCGCCACAGCCCGTTGCATCTGGAGGGGCAACAGCAACGGGAGCAGATGATACCAGCAACAGAGAGGGGCCCCGTAGAGCGCGGGGGGCAACTGTTCCCACAAGGGCTACATTGGAGGCTGCTGGTTTGGCAACACAGCGGATGCCTTTGCAGCACAGCAGTTATGGAAGCAGCAGCAACAGCCACGCTGCTGCAGGCGCCGGGCTAGCTCCGATGCTGCAGCTCCAGGAGCTGGTACTGCAGCACCAGAGGGGCAGTTTGTTTGGGGGTATGATGCATTGGGGCCACCGACACAGCAGCAGCGTAAGCAACAGCAACACCATGGTGGTAGAGTGCAGGGCTCCACTGTCACGCGTAGAGACGGAAATCAGACGCACGATTCAGGCCGGTGAGCGTGCACCATTGCAGCAACCGCAACAGCAGCAACCTCAGCAGGCGGAGAGCGTTATGCGGGAGTTCGAGACGGATGGAGGGCAGCAGGAGCAGCAGCAAGACTGCAGCGGCACCGCCACCAGGGTAGGGAGCCGCTCGGGGGAACGCGGCTTGCTGGCAGGCCGGACACCTGCGGAGGACGGGGCACTCTCAGAGCGGCAACGTCAGCCGCGGCGGGGGCATGCTCAACAGGAGCAGCGACAACAGCAGCAGTTGCAACGGGAGGACGGAGTAGAATCCCCTGACGGCAGCGATCCCATGGATGTGGACAGTCATATCAAAACAGGTAAAGCCGCTTGTTGCAGCAGCGACCGCCTCAAGCGGTTTTAATTAGAGGGCTGCAGGTACTGCTAGTGGCGGAATGTTGTAGCAGGTTGTGTTTTTCTTTTTTTGCACTCTTGCGGTTTCAGGAAGACATTCTGGGGACGATGATCCCGAGTATAGGGACAGCCCCAGCGAGGAGGATATCATTAGCAGCAGCCACAGCAGCAGCCGCAGCAGCAGTAGCAGCAGCGATGGTGAAGCAGCGGTGATTTTCGATGGGGAAGAATTAGCAGATAGTGACAGCAGCAGTCCCAGCAACAGCAGTTGCAACAGCAGCCAAAGCGACGGAAGCAGTGAGGACGAATTGGGGGCTGGACCAGAGGGGGAAGGGCATGGGGAGCCATTGCAACGCGTTGCTGCAGGGGCATCTTCAGCGGGTGGTGACGTAGCACAGGAATCCGCTCAGACACGTGCAGAAAGCCCCATTCGTGCTATGCCGAGAGAACAGTGTACCGATTTGGAGCAGCAACACGACGCATCCTACGGCGCTGCTGCAGGTTCCCGCGAACATAGCAGCAGCCATTGCGGTGGAAATAGTACAGCAGCTGTGGGCGCTATCCAGCTTTATATACACTCCGTGCCCGTACCACCTCATATGCCTGTAATGGAGGCTCTCAATTTGTATGGAGGGTGCGTTGCCTTGGCTAGACGCAGCGGCAGCAGCAACTGGCGTGATAGCAGCAGGAGCAGCGGATGGTTCGCTCCAGCTGGTGGCGTGGCCTACCGTCGACTACAGCAAATGCTTCAGGGAGGCGGCAGCACTTTTGAGATGCTGTTGTCCACAGCATTGTTGGCGGACCTTTTCCCCAACACCAGCACTGGCAGCGGCAGCAACAGCAGCACAGCGAGGCAGCGAGGAGGTGCTGCCTCGCTAGACGCATTGCCCGCATTCCTTGATTCTAGAAGGCCCGTTTCCGTTGCTGCTGCCCCAGATGCAGCAGCACAAACAGGAGGTGATGATGCACCCGCTGCCGCTTCTGCTCCTGCGACGAGCAGCACGGAGAGGGGGGAGCGAACGAGCAGCAACAGCAGGAACGAGGTTTTGCATGTTGATCTTAGCGGGCGATTCTGCATTATGGCCGAAGGGTCCACAGCACCAGCAGCTCCAACAGGGGCAGCAGCAAGCGAAACAGCGGCTCTGGGTAAATCCCTTTGGGACAATGCCCACACCATTGACTACCTTGTGCTTCCAGCTGCAGCGAAGGCACGGAACAGCAGCAACAACAGCAAGAGCAGCTGCAGTGAGCTGCTTACCACGGAGGGTCTTCGCTTGGGTCGGGAAACACCGCTTGTCACCTCCCTTGTGCATCCGGCTTTGGCTGCAGAACGGCTGTTACAGCAACTGCATCAAGACCAGCAGGAGCAGCAGCGGGCTACTCCTGCAACGTGTTACGAGCCCAGAGAGCCGCAGCAAGAGCCGCAGCAGCAGCAGCGAGTGTTGGAGGATCTGGCTGGATGGTGTGTTTGCCGCAGCCGAAAGGAGACGGCTGCAACAGCTGCCTATTTACGTGGAGATTGCAACAACTGGCACCGTCGTGACTTGCTGATGCATGCGGCTTCAGATGAAGCTGCTCCTCTGTTCTATGCACTCCCCTCTGCCGGCGTCGGTGTCACCCGCCGCAGCAGTAGCTCTCGGGGCGAACAAAATCTTACTGCAGCACCTAAGAGCACAGGAGTAGCAAGGCCGGCGCTTCCTGACTCTTCTGATATGCCGGCAGCTTCAGATGAGGCGTTGCTCCTTCCGAGTGTCTTTGAAGATGCAGCGTCATCTGCAGCACCCTTTGTAGTTTTGTTATTGTATGTGCACAACCTCCTGCAACAGCTGCCTCGGCTGTATGCATATGCTTCAATCGCCAACAACACCAACCCTAACGACTCGGACAGTGCAACAGCAACAGCAGCGGCGTCAACTCTCTTTAGAGCTGCTGCTTCTTCACGCGGTTTGTGTGGGCATCCTCTGGGTCTCTGCAGCAGCAGCACCGGTGAAACAGCGGGAGCAGCTGTAGTAGCGGCGGACATACCTTGCTGGAGTAGCGTGTCAGCGAAGGCTGGGGCGATCTTGGCAGACCCTGTTGCAGCCGTCACCTGCCACGGTAGAACGCCCTATTGGTTGAGGCGGTTGGTATTTGCATGCCCATTCCTGTTCCCCCTGCAGTTGAGGCTGCTGCTGCTGCTGCAACAGCAACTTGGAGTTATGCGGGGGCAGTTTATTTACAAAGTGCGGCTAAAAGAAGCGGCGGAACTGCTGTTAGGCCAGAGGCAGAGCAGCAGTAGCAGCAGCACCAGCGTGCAACCTTTACTAAATATTCCCACTGCCGGCATCAGCAGCAGCAAAGCCCTGCTTGTTCAGCGGCTGCGGCCGCTCCTGCAATTGCAGGGAGCCGCATCAGGAGCAAGCAGCAGCAGGCGGGAGCAAGAAATACTTGCAGATCTGGAGGGTGTACGTCAGCAACGACAGCATTTGCAGTAACGCTACCAGCAGGAGCAGGCGGACTAAGAGGACGTCGAACACTCACGGAATATGTTAAAATGTTTATTTGCGTGCAATGAGTGTTCAGGGGGCGTCGCTTCCACGGACAAAAGTGAAGATGCCACGTTCTCACTTAGTGGAGAGCGCAGCAAAAGTAAACGTTGAATCTTGGCCAGATAAACACCATGCATAAACACTCACTGTCGTTTGTTTTGTCGTCCGTCCTCGTGTCGTCCTTATGTTGTTTGATCGAATGGTTTGCTGTGTCCACTTGAGAAACGATGAGAGGCAGCAGCTTGGGACATTCTCAGCATCGGCGTGCTGCTGCTGCAGGTAATGGACCATCTGCTGGCAAGTAACCGTAGTAGTGAGGAACAGCCCGTGCTGGAGGTGGAGTTCGCGGGGGAAGAGGGAGTGGGCCAGGGCCCAACGAATGAATTTTATGCAGAGGTCTGATCTTTGGAATAAAAAATTTGAGGGGGGTTACGGGGATGCTAGTTTTGTCTGGTGGCGTCGTGTTCGTTGGGTTGTAGTTACTCTCAGTGGATGCTGGTAACTGCTGCGGCTTGTGCTACTGCAGGTGCTTGACGCGCTGCTGTCATGGAACGACCCCGAGTTGTTCCTGAGCTGCAGCAATGGGGGAGGATTATTCCCACGCGCATATTTAACCGACATATCTCGTGTCCCAGTAGACATGCTGCGGCGCCCGAGAGTTTCACCGCTGGTGCAGCAGCAGCAGCGAAGAGTTAGAAGAAGAGCCAATGCCAGCCGAACAGACAGAGCAGCCCCCATTGAAGGGGCAGAAGATATGGAGGAGGATGTAGAACCCTCGAGCAGCAACAACAGCAGCAACAGCACTGGGGGTTCGCCTTGTTCTGAAGCGACTGCAGGGGGGGCAGAAACAGCAGCGGCAGAACGTGGAAGACTGGAGCGCGAACTGTTTAGTCACTTCCGCTTGCTGGGACAGCTGTCAGCGAAAGCGTTGGTTGATGGCCGCAGCAGCACAACGGACACAGGGCTGCATGCGCTTTTCTGGGAGGCAGTTGCTCGTCCTCTGTTGCACCACGAGAGGCTTAAGCCATGCAGCTGCATGGAACCTGCAGCCAAGAACGGCGTAGGGGGAGCGTCGATAGAAGGAACGGGGTTGCGGCTTGGTGCTTGTCACTGCGGATGCACAGCAGCTGCGGTTGCTGCAGTTGCTGCGGTTGACGTCGCCCTGGGGAGGTCCTTGCAGCAAATGCTGAGGCACCGAGCAGGTGGAAATGAGGTGAAGGACATGTGCTGCTCGTTTGTCCTCCCTCGTAAGTGACTGTGGGCCGTTAGATGAACAGTAAAAATGCCCAAGCTAACCGCCCGCTGTAGCACCAGAGCGGTCACACCTAGGCGTGTGTGACTTAGATGGTTAGCAGATAAGCAGCCGCGTCTGCCTGCATCAGATGGCAGGCAGGTGAGCTAAGCTTGAACTTTATCTGCGGAGCTTCAGGGTTGCGTTTTCTGTGGTTGTCTTGCTCTTGCGGTTGCTGCTGCAGAGAGTGGGGGAGGGATATTGATTGAAGGCGGCGACAACATCCTTGTCTCGAACGCCTCCCTGGATTATTTCATTCAGCGGTTAGCGTTCGTTATGCTCGCTGAGGGCATCTTCCTGCAGGTGAGCCTTGCGTTGCCTGCGTCGCTGCTCACCAAAGTGTGAATTGTTTAGCCATGTATGGTGAAGTGCCTCATTTGCGTGGAGGCCACGTTTGCAGCATACCTTGAGAAGCGTGCTTGCGAGCGAGAGGGCCCTCCACAAATGAGCTTTTGTTATTTGTTCCTCCATATGCATGCATTGGGCATGCGTAGTAGGAAGCTTGAGTGTGCCGAGTTGGCACATGCCTTCTGCAGTTTTAGGCTGCAAGTGCGTGCGTGTTGCTGCATGGGGTCTCCAGGCTTCCGCGTTCCGTTTGGGATTCGGCTCTTTCTGTCCCCTTTCTGCCCTTTCCCCGTTGTTACCGATGGAGGTCTCATCCGTTTTGTTTGGAGACAGGGAAAGAACGAGGCAGGATCGTTTCTGGACGCTATCGCATCTGAGAGCACACGTGACACCGGACCATGGGTAAAAAACAAGATGTGTAGAATGCTGCAGCAAACATATGCAATAGAGGCCGACACAGGGGCCTTGCCTAGTCATTTACAGGGTCGCACTTGTAGCATTAGCAACCGTGCTGGGGGAGGGGTGCGCAAGTATAGGAACACTTAGCACTTTCCCTGCCCACGATGGGTACACGCAAGTCGAAGAAGTACAGGCAGAGGCTGGAGACGTAGTAGAAATGCACTCGTTGTATAATCTTTTTGTATGTTGATAGAAAGATAGAGCGTCCTCAGGCCGCACCTAAGGCGAGATGGTTTTTTCAGGGCAGACTGGTGACACATAGAGATATTATGTGTAACTGCACGAGATGGCTCCGTTGTCAAGATTTATGTTAAGGTCGTGCGCCCTGCGAGTTGTTCCTTCCCATTAGGTTCACAGCATCGAGTGCGGTGTATGGACACTTCCTGGAGGTTCTTTCCGATTTCAACCCTTCACAACGAGCTGCCTTCCTCAAGTTTGTCACTGGGTCGACAATTTTGCCAGCAGGCGGGTTTGCTGGGTTCCGGTGAGACGACGGCTTTATTCAGCCTGCTGTTGGGCTGGGTCACAGCACGGGAATCTGCTAAGCAGTAGGAGCAAGTGGTTGATCTGTATCTTGTATCTTCTCCACATGTATAGCTCATTTTGATCCCTACCCATTAATTCTGTGCATCTACTAACAGGCCCCCTCATAGCTGGTTCTCACCTGTGAGGACTGTCGTGCATCCGCAGATGAAGCGGTACTTGTGTGTTTTCAGAACCAGGGCATGCTTATTTGCTCCTAATTGCTGGTACAAGTTCAAAATTGCGTACATATTTTTGCTTCTCCTTTGTGTCGATTTGGCTGCAGCCCGCTGATGAAGGTCGTCAGGAAGAACCCCGCTTCAGGAAGCGGAGGCAGCGACTATCTGCTACCCAGTGTGATGACCTGCAGCAATTACATCAAGCTTCCCAGTTACTCTTCCAAGCAGATCCTAAAGGAGAGGCTCCTCCTAGCGCTAGAGGAGGGGCAGGGTGCGTTTACACTGTCGTAGTAGGACTTCACCCGGACTGTGTAGCAAAGCAAATGGGCACCAAGCTCGGCAGCTGTTTTTTCAGTTGGCGAGCTGCTTCGGTGGCTGACCAGAGAACAGGCTTTTAAGCAAGATTGGCAAATGCCTTGCATTAGGGATTTTTCCGTAGTTTTGTCTTACGAGACGTGTAGCGTTAGCGGTGTAGAGGTTGGGGGTACGTGGCCGACGACACGTTGCCAGCAAGAGGCCAGTCTAGTTAGTTTCTTCTGCTAATGCCAACATACGTCCTCAAGTTGAGGAACTGAAAAATTCGAACTAAAAATTTCGCCCGCACAGTAGGCAAATAGCAGACCCTGGACAACAAACAGAGCTTGAAAAACACACGGGGATGGGCACGAGAACGTTCCAGTGGTTCTCCTCCGTATAGCCACTTTATCTCTATGGAGTCTGAGTCTTCAACTCAAAGCGAAAGCTTCTCTGTACCATAATTGAAGTGCATCCTTCACACCAAAGGAGGCTGTGCGCTCTGGGGCAACGGCCCTGAAATACCACAAAGAACTGGGTTCCTGTTGTTTCCACGTTCTTTTTTGTGGGCACTAGGGGCGCCTCCCGAGATCCCAGTTCTAGCACCACAGGATTCGCGAATTCGAGTGGCACTCACCGCTCCATGCTTTAATTGTGGGAGTACGGCTGGCTCCTGGCAAAAGAAAACTGAAATATCTCAAGCTGCGCGAGTCGTTCAAGGATTATATTGCACGAGCCTTCCGTGCCCTCAGCTGCACTGTATTTAGCGCTTATCCTCTCACATAAGAAGTGGAGGGCAGTCTAGAACCTTCTAGTCTATTCCCTTTAGGTATAGAGTTTCGCTTCCGTCTGTATGCGTGTGTGTAAGTGTGTGTCCCTCCAGCTGCAACAGTTCCCAGCATAACACAGGGTTAAATGTGTGTGGGTAAGCGGAGATGACCGACACTTGGCAGGCAGATCCCATTCCCAACATTCACTTCAAGTAGTGTGCTGCATTCAGCCCTAAACATAACAGAGCAGCAATGGGCAGATAACCCTCAAGAGGTAGCCGCAGCTGTAGTGCGCGAGCATTACAGTGGGTCTCCCATTTAGCCTCAACAGGCATACCCCGGGAAAAGACCACAGTATAATGTTACATTTGTTCAAAATCACAACTCTTCTTAAGGAAATAAGGCAAGCCGGCTATCCTGTCTTGAGCAACCTATATGCGTTTTTAGGCTGCCTGCGTAGCTAAGCAACTGACTGACCCTGTGGGTGGGAGGGGGTCTAGGGAGGGAGACCCCGTATCCTCCTTTTAATATTTATCGTTTTGTATCGGAGATCCTCTCGACGAGAGGATCTCCGCCAGCAGCAGATTGTGGTTATCAAGAGGCTGGTTAAGCATGAACAACAATCAATAGATAGACCCCACTAGCTAAAAGAGCACTAGGATATGGGTAGTTTAGCCCTTCAAGAAAGTGTTTGCATACCGTTGCTTCTGCTAGCATGCATGCATATATCACGGAACGATGAACGATAAGGTGCTCTAGCTTCACAGCAGAATAAAACAAAGAGCGCACTATTACAGTGGAGGCGTCTTAACCGGCGGTTCAGACGATTCATGCCATTCTTACTCGTACTCGCTTTGCAGTAACGGTCAAATTAGGTTCATCGCTTACCAGGCCACCCTATCGTATATGTAAGCATGATTATGCGTCTTTATCCAGTCATATTCATGCATATTATGGTGGAATACAACATACTCCGACTGAAGCTAGCACATGAACGCTTACTCGGGCGTCGCAGGCAACCTGCACGCAAGTAGCTAGCCAGTAACCGGACCCATCAATTGTATACTGTGAGCACATTCTCACAAGCGGGTAAAGCCTAGCCTTCTTTGCATCAGCACAAGACTTCTGCCACCTAAACGTTCCGTAATAAGATGGAGGAAGGGTTCCTATGAAGCCGGGGACTTGCTAAAGTGCAGCCTATTCCACTGACAAACCCGCCTACACCAGCCATATACGTTTTATGTAAAGCAGGTTGTTGATTGTATCCCAGAATTACTGGGAGCCTCAATGGAGCCAATGACTTAGGGCAGGAGTCCTCTCAGCTCATGCTCCTGCATAGCTTACAGGCGCCGAGCTAATAGCGATCCGAGCCCCTAGGGTTGTTGATTTCCAAGACCACAATAATCAAAGAGTTGTTAAGTGGCTTTGCCGGCTCATGCAGTGCGATTTCACCGTACAGTATTTCCAAAGCAACGTCGTCTTGGATCCACTCTCTGGGCACTGCACCGGCAAGGCACTGTGTTCTGCAACTGCCTGTGTGTGATTCCCATCCCCCTAAAAAGTTGAGTGCACCGTACTCCAGACAGCCATGCGGGTGCAGTTATCGCTAAGCTTAACAACAGGAGACGAGGGGAGTACTACAGCATGGATGCATGGGATTGCTCATGATACCAGCAGGGGTGTGGACTTCTCCAGTTGTACTTTCCAGATTCACTTCCTCAATATTTATGCAAAGTCCACGATCATGCTTCAGCTGGATCTGAAGGGGTTAAAATAACGGTGTAGGCCACTGCAAATTCTTGGTGGCCCAGGATGCGTCCCTGAGCGGAGAGACTGGATATCACCCCCCCGGAATATCAGTAGCAAACGCCACGGAAGACTCTCAGGCTCTACCATAGCCGTCCAGTTCCCAAGCCGGTCTACACAAATATATCAATAGGTTTCACAATCGCTTTCAATTCTTTTGGAAGCTGAGGCAACATATAAGTCATAGCGGATAGTCTCAGCAAGGGAGCTCTTTCACCCCCTATTCATTACTGACAGGGATCTGAAGCTAATTGACACAACTTACGCATAAGAAAAGCATCGCAAACCATTCGGAAGCCGACGGAAAGCCACCCGCTGCTCCAGTATCTGCCACTCTATACCTAACATACCTCCATACACTGGCTTGATTTCCTCATTGGTGCGGAATGATATCATCACACAACCGCGTACCCTTCCACACGTTGCTATCCGGAGACGCTCGGCTACACTGAGAAACCGTAAGCCGACCAGACGTTAGATCGGACAGTTGGAGTGCTGTTCTTTGTCACGCCAATGTTTTGGCATACGTCGTCAAAGTTCCCTCAACACGGAGGGGTTATCATGCGATTAACAACGGTGCATGGAAACAGTTTAGGGTATCACCGAAGTAGCCCGGAGCTTTACCCGCAAAGAATCCTCAACGTCCTGATGAGAAGCCACAATTCGAGGAAGCTAAGGTCCAGAAGACCCCAGAACACAAATCATACGTTAATGTTTGCAGTTAAAGGTAAGCTGAATAAAGGTAAGCTGAATTGGTTTCTGAGGATCGCTGCTCGAAGTCGCAGCTATTCTTCGCGAGCATCAACAGGACATCCTTGTTTCGCCAGCAACTCCTGCGGGTATCGGCGTCAGCAATACAGCGTACAGGTTGCCACTTCACAACCTAGAAGGTCCCAAATCTTCATATTCCATGTGCTCTGCTGTGCTAATGACTTCTGTCTCTGAAATGTAGCTTCCCTATTCTGCAGTATATCAGGAACCTGGGCTAGGGACAATGAGAGACGCAGTTCGGCCAAACGTCATCATCACGCACCATGTTCGTTTTTGTTTAAAAAGTCTAAACCAGTAGGCAAAGTTAATAATATACCAGTACAGAGCACGGTGGAATTCAACGCGTTTCGAGCAGCAGGAAGCAGTAGAAGCAACCGAAAATCGACTCCTCTACGCAAAAACTTGTGGCATGTACAAGTTAATACAGAAATAATCATGGCCGACACCGACTTCGGAGGGCGAACGATGCTTGTACTAGGGGGGAAGCGATGGGGGGCAGATGAAAGCCTGTCTGTGCGATGTTGGCAATTCTACCTTCGGTGGCCCAATGAAACCTTATCTGGCCCATGTAGAGAAACAGTATGCACGCCAGTCCTAAACAGGTGTCTAAAATGTTCATGTATACAGTCAGGATGGGTTGTTTGTCCTTGTTTATGGGGCCATCTTGCACTGGGAGTTGCAGCAAGGCAGGCGATATCCACTTTCACAGATCCACTCACTTGAGTTACGGAGCTCAGGACTCATGGTGATTGCCAAAAGAGGCCACTTGCATCAAATGAACTCGTATCTCAACTATGTTGGTTCCACTACAGTACAGTCATCGGATTTGGTCATGTCCCCCTGCTACAATTCCGGACAGCGCGTTACGCTATGCTGCAGCCACTACCCCTGCATAGATGCACCCGTCATCATTGGACCGTCTGCAGACGTGAAGCAATTCTTCATGAATTGTGTCCGCTGTACGGACATCTTCGGTTGGATGGAAAGGGAATGCTGGGCTCCTTGCGTACGCGTCGTTTTGCGAAGGCGTACCCAGCTGTTGGATGCTTCTCTGCCGGAGTGCACGGTAGGGAATCAGGCTCAATCTTTGACAAAAGTGCTTACTAAAATATATAAGAGAATTCCGTCTTTGTAGGCGCAAGCATGCGTCCTGTGCAGTCAGTGCTGCACATCATGTCTTGTTGTTTCATATGGCGGTGTCTTGACGATGAAGGAAGGTCCGTTACAAGAATATCACCGACAATAATATTAAGGACATCTGCTAAAAACTTCCCACACATTAGACGTGATATAGAACTATTATGAAAATGCAACAATGAATGATGCAAACTATTTGCACTACATTGAAATCGCCTGCGCAGCCGACTCGGGTTATACAGCCACATAGATCACTCACATAGCTTCATGCCTAACAAGGGCGACGATCCGCTTACCCGAAACCCCTAGAGATAATGGAATTATCCAAATAAATTAAATATTTAAAATTAGAATGGATGAAATTATGGTTGGAACATCGCCCAGTGCAATGAGTTATGTACAACCAGCTCAGTGCGCCATCTGGTAACACCCCACAAGACAACGCATCTACACAATCCGGAGCTAGATGTAATGCAAATCAGTGGAATAGCCCAAGGACAAAATTTGGAATTA